CCCTTGACGTGCTGAGTGATAGCGAGTCGTCCGGTGACGACGATGATGATGACAGTCCCCCAACCTTCGAGTGGACCACCATCATCAAAAAGTCTTTGGTTGCTTCCACTCCAAAACCTGTGGAGGACAAGAAAAAGTCCCTCCTCATGGCACCCAAGTCGCCTGAGGACGACGACGCCTCGATCGACCAGCTTGCTCAGATGGACCTCACCAACGACAGACCAAGCCCTCTATTCGTCATGATCCTACCGGCCAAGGAAGATGGATGCTACTTCGTGGTGGTTCGCCAGCGCTATCTCCCCCTTGCGATGAACGTGCTCGACAACCTGCCGTCCTTTCTCCAGTTTCACCTTGGCGAGTTGTTGTTCCCCAATTTCATTCCAGTTATCAAGAACTGGTCCGCTACCAACCTCGCCTACCAGAATCGCAAGCTTTATGTTGAATGGGTCCCGTCGGAGCTACGCTCCCGCTGTATTGACGATCCCACCAACGATCAAGGGCCTCAAGTCCGTGATCCCATGACTTCCTTCTCTGCATGGAAGACCCCGTGGAGATTCTCGAGGGCACTCTCCACATTGACATCCACGCCAAACATGTTCGTGACGTAGATGATGGCCTTTCTGTGATCGGTTACCTCGACGATTGGAACGAGAGTCAGGCCCAGCTCCAGACCGCTCTCCAGACCATCGAGACCATTACTGACGAGAAGAACAGTTTGAACCGGGACCTACAGTCCGTTTGTGACGAATTGGAGGCAATGAAGGCCGCCCAAGAGACTGCTGCTGCTATGACAGAGTTGTCTAAAACTGTTAGGCCTGTTCCGATGCTCACAGTGGCCGTCCCTACAGGTCCACCAGGCCAGACACGTGTCAGCACTGCTATGCTACTCAGTCCCTTGGTTCATGGCAGTGCTCCACCGGCGACGGCTCATGAAACGGACGGAGAAGATTGGGAGGACCAACCCAATGCGTCCTCTCCTATGGACACCGGTCGTGGGGGTATCAGTACCCCCACGACGGGTCCATGATAAACAAAAGATCGCCTGCTGCTCTGTTGCGGCGGAACAGGCATAGATCGTTTATCACCAGCAACCAGTCAAGAGCGGCTCCACACACCTCTCTTGATTCCCTTTTCAGTTCCTTCCTTCCAGGAGATGGTTTTGGTGACAACCATCTTGTTCGTGCACCGGGTTCCGCCCGGCTCGCCTTCCAGAATATTAACACTATTCCCGACGAGTCAGACGACCCTAAACAAGCACAACTCAACCACTGGATTTGAAGCGAATGTGTGGACTTTTTACTTCTGGCTGAATTGAACAAATTCTGGCCAGCAATTACACCAACCAACCGATGGCGTGAACGAGCCAGCACTATGGCTAGGAAGGGCAAAGGTTTCCACTCGGCGGTGGCCTACAATACCCATCAACCACGGGCGGCCCATTCCACCACTCAATTTGGGGGCTGCTCGACTTCTGCCTTCAACAAAGTACCTCACCGAGTTAGGTCCAGTGGCGACGATAGCTTAGGGCAATGGGCTTGGATACGTCTTCAGGACCGAACACAAGGCGTTGGCCAGCGCAACTTGGTGGTGATCTCTGCCTACCATCCAAACCCACCTAACAACGGGCATCAAACAGTGTGGTTCCAACATAAGGCCCACTTCAGCCGCACCAACCGCGATGTAGAACCCAGGGAAGCTTTCATCAAGGACCTCTCAACGGCTATCAACAAATGGCGCGACGACGGCTGTTCTATCATCTTGGGCATCGATGCCAACGACGACTTATCCTCCTACTCCCCAAAGTCTTTCCGTTTTCGGATGAGCGAAGTAGGATTGGTCGAGGCGATCCAGTCTAAGCACCCAGGGTCCCATCAGGCCACTTACCAGCGGAACCCCCGTGGGTATCCGAGATTGACGGCATCTTTGCGACGCCTGACGTGCCCATCCTGGCCGCCGGGTACTACCCTTTTGACGAACACGTCGCCTCCGATCACCGTGGCCTGTGGATCGACTTTGACTTGCGCAGTCTCCTTGGCGGACACCAACCTACGAAATCCACCCATGTTCCACGCCGGCTGGTGATGCACAACAAACGGGTGGTTCAACGATATGTCCAATTGGCGGAGCAGGGTTATATGCGGTACAATATT